CCCAGGCAGCTCTCCAGCCACTCTGCCCCAAATCTGTAGTGTTGCGTGGGGTTGTTGTGACTGAAGTGCAGGACCCAGCACTTGGCCTTGTTAGTAGGCCGACCTCATACAGCTGGCCTCGGCCCATCGATCCAGCCTGTCCAGATCCCTCTGTAGAACATTCCTACCCTCAAGCAGATCAATGCTCCCACTCAGCACGGCGTCATCTGCAAACTGACCCAGGGTGCACTTTATCCCCTTGCCCAGATCATTGATAAATATATTAAAAAAGATCAGCCCCAAAACTGAGCCCTGGGGAATGCCTCTGCTGACGGGCCACTAACTGGATTTAGCTCTGTTCACCACAACTCTCTGGGCTTGGCCATACAGCCAATTTTTTATCCAAAGAGTACAGCTGTCTAAGCCATGAGCTGGCAGCTTCTCTAGGAGAACGCTGTGGGAGATCGTGTCAAAGGCCCTACTAAAGTCCAGGTGGACAACATCCACAGCCTTGCCCTCATCCATTAGGTGGGTCACCTCGTCATAGGAGATATTCTGCTCTTCATTGATTTTTAAACCACTCTTCTAAAATCCCTTTTCTAATCAGGAACAAAATATAATATGCGGCTATTCAGATTTTGCTCTCTGCTCTGGGATAGCAGCAAGAATACCTGACACAGTAGTAGGTGGGATTCATTTGCACGAGCTTAGCTCTGTCTCAGGTTTTTTTTTTTCAGAGCCCAACTATAAGGGACTCACAGGGGAAAATCTGTCTTCCTTGGAGAATGAGCTCATTAGGTTAACAGCCTGCCTCCAGTGGAGTATTTTTCCAAGGCAGGTGGCATGTGTGTATGTGTGCTAGCAACAAATGACACCTTGTGTCTCGTGCAGGTTTCAGTTGCTAGAAAAGTATCCCAGACCCATCCTGCCCCAGGGTGGAAAAAGCCTGTGCAGCACCTGGGCAGAAACTGTGTGCTAATTTACAGAAGGATTAAATACACCGTGAGGACAAGCCAGTACTTCCCTATCTGTTATCAGTCCACATTTGGACTAATTGTTTTTGGATTACCAAAGCCTTAGAGCTTGCAAAAACCAAGCACTAGCAAAACACTCAGTGACAGAAACTCCAAGGCCTGTAATCCTACCAATACAATGTATTTTTAAAGTAGTGATTAATAAAAGACAATCTCGTTACTTTTGAAAACATCCATTTTGGCTGCAGCACTTGTGGATAAACACTCAGCATTTAAAGATGGGAAAGTCTGTCCTGGCTTCAGATGTGTAAGTGGACCCCCTCACCCTGGTGAAATATTTAAGCCCAAGCGATCCCTCCTCCTGGCTACCTGTGGCCTGTTTTCCTCCTCCTCTTGCTCCTGCGTCCAGGCTCTCTCATTTCGGTGCCTCCGTGGATAGTAGTGCGTATCTCTGGCTACATTTGAGAACATGTGGATATTTCCTGTCAAAAGAAACCAAGAGCGAGGAGTCATGATTTTCATCCAGTTGCTGGTACTCACCGGTATTTCTCAGAGTTTCTAGTAGATTATCCAGGTTTATACGACATGGCCTGAATTACAGTTGTGAGACCTCAGATTAAAACGTGCAAACACACCTCAGATTTAAATGTCAAAATAATACCTTGTTCCAAAAAGTGCACCAGAGAAGTTGTAAACTTTAAGTTCATCTTAATTTAAATCAAACTGCAGAAACAGGCTATAATTTTTATTACTACATCTCGTAGTCTAATACTGTTTTTGTCACATTCACTTGCAAGGCCATAGCTTGTGTTGCATCCCCAGGCTCTGTGCAGGAAAATGAATTTGCTTCAATAGACTCTGGCAATGAATTATAGCTTCCCATAATTACTGAATATGGTCTTCCACACTAATTTCTACTTCCTTTTTCTTCAAGCTATTAATAGATTCACTTAATTATTTTATAAGGAAAGTGATTTTAAAAATAAGTAAAAAAAGAGTACAATTCAGGATTTCCTTTCTTGCATATTGAATGTAGTTGATTTATTTTTTTAAATTCTAAAATGAGGAAAGAATTGCATATGCTGTTTCAATTTGAAGCTTCAACTCTGATTTTATCACCATATGAATATCTTAATAATAGCTGTGCTCTCCTCTTTTGAAATTCAGAATGTCTTTGTATTAGAGATTTAAAATTTAGGACCTTATCATAATAACAGAAATGCACATCTATTTTTAAGCCCTGGGAATGATGTCACATTGTTTTACACTCTTATACTGTCCTTTCTCTGTATTTCCCAAAGAATTCTGCAAGAAACCCAGGCGGAAGTGACCTTTGCTATTGTCAAAACATCTGTTTCACTGCTTCTTCACGTTTGCAGTCAGAGGTCCAACAGAGCCAGAGGAGGCAGGTTTGAAGAATAAAAGTTTATTTCTTGAAAAAGAAAGTTTGTTTCTATCATTCAACATTGCTCAGACAATATTTTATCAAGCTGTGAAAAAACAGAAGCAAGTGTAGGAAGAGAAGAATGGTTTTTGCAGGGTACCTAGAAAAAAGTTTTCCCAAATCCTAAGTTTCTCGAAACACTTCTCTGCTGAAAGCAGTTTCTTTCCTTCCATATGCATTTATTTTTTATGAGAAGGAAAATCGTAGCCTCTACTGATTATAACTGCAACACTACGCCACATGGAGGGTCTCCTTTTAGATTTATGACATTTAACATTTTAACTTTTAATAATTTTCCACTGAATTTCCACATCTGAAAATGCACTGTAAAAAAACAAAAAAACCAAAAAAAACCAAAAAACAAACCATAAACCTGCCCACAAAAGCTGTACAAATGATTTTATCCTAACACCAACATTTCTTATTCAGATTTTCAGAAAGCCTGGTGATAGCAAGGTATCACAAAACAAAAACCAGCACAACACTGCAGCTTAGCACAAACTTCAGCTCACACACACACACAAGTCCTACTTCATGACAGTTAAAAAAAATGTTCTCTTTGTATCAACTATCTGAACACCCTCTTACTAGCAATTCTCTTGCTGAGTAGAAACTTTGTTGATTTTGCCTGTTTGGAAAACTACTGAACTGATGATTTTCAGTAATTTAAAATTGACTTTTAGATTAGGGAAACACATAAATTCAGACCAAATACATATTTGTTGAGGAAACTATTGTTTACTACCAACACCTATTACTATGAAATGATTTTTTAATTTTCTTACTCTTTGCCACTTTGATAAAAATTCCCATTTACTTCTTCACACCATGCTGTTAAACCTGCCAGGCCCAGCACCCAAATTCCTCCTGCAGCTCCTCAATTTCTTGTCCTCAACTCCAGGTATCCCTGTCACCCACAGCTACACAGCAGTCATGTTGCACAAGGGCAGTGCTTCACTGGTGGCCGAGGCAAGAAGCACGTGTAGATGCAATTTCTTGCAAAGTCAGAAATGGAAAACTTGTAAACTCAGTGAGGGATTACGCCACGCTGAGTTTGGCTCACTTTGCCTATCTACCGATCTAATTCTGAAAACAATTTGAGGTCCCCTGAGCTGCACAGACTAAGGTTATGAGGAGCTTGTAAGTAATTACCTGTATCTGTGGTTTTAGGCTGTAGTAACTGGTGTGTATGTTGCTTTACACCACGCCTTGTAGGTGAGGAAGTTTACAAGAGTGCTAAAGCAAATTGTTAGATACTGCCAGGAAGATCTGTGAGCTCACCATACTTTGCAGATTTACTTTTAATTCACACCTGTATTCCACTGATCTTGCAGTATCTTTCTATTTTTGCTACAAATACAAAAGCCAAGGCCAGACTGAGACATGCAGGTAGGGATCTACTGTTCTGTTACTGGATACTGTATCTCCAGTAACAGCCTTTCCTGGCAGGCATCACTTTCTAAGCTAAGAAGTTTTAATTTCTTTACAGTATGCAAGCTGCTGCAAGCCCAATGAACTCTGTTTTCCTAGTTACAGGGGAATTGAGACCACAATACCAGGAGCTGCTGGCCATGCTGTCCTGGAACACAGTAAGGTGTCTCAAATACAGCATGATCAGCAAAGACACTTCTGATCACTTCTCATTCACGCTTTATTTTACCTCCCATACCACTGCTGCCTTCAGATAACAGAGGGAATAAAAGCAACAACAAAAAGAAGGGTCTCCAGCTGCAGCTGGTATTACAGCGTTGTGTACTCAAGAATCAAACAGCCAGACTAAAAGAAAAGAATCTCTTGCCAGACTAAAATGTCCTTACCCCTAACTAGTACTGACAGAAATTTTCAGGAGAGGCTGGGAGGCCAGGAACTTGCCCTGGCAGCAACAACCATTACCCCACTGGGAGCTCTCTCTTCTAGGAGCATTCCTACACAGCAAGGCTGGGCTTTGACAACAGTTTTTGGGGAACAGAGTTGCTAAAATCTGAAGTTTAAACCATGCATTAAGGGAGCTTTTCCAGGCATAAAAAGCTAGGAAGGGAGAACAGAGTAAATTGAAAGAAGTTTTTGCTCTTTTCAGATGTATCACCAGCTCCCTGAGCAGTGCCAAGAAAAGCTGAATTTCCTTTATGGTTCAGTGTCAGTTCATTGCATTTCAAAAACTCTGCAGACAGATACTGACCTGTAGGAAAGTGCCCACCAAAAAACACGTTGAATATTTCTTCTGGTGTAATGTCTGCTTCAAATTCTGTGTAGTAATTATAGTGCCTGGCCTGGCCAGTGCTGACGTGTTCTTGGTCACTTCCGAATTCATCGTATCGCAATCGTTTTTCAGGGTTGCTCAGAACTGCAAAAGCATTACCTATTGCTGGAAAGTGAATTAAAAGATGTGTTACACAGGCACACGATGCAGTATTTCCAGATCTCAGACTTTTATAAGAAGAGTAGCAAAAAAGCCCAAACTTGCATAGAAAATCTGTGCTTGACCAAAGATTGAGTTCCTTGTGAAAGAACCGCCTTTGCCAAAAAAGGTGTTACAACACTGGAATTTCTGTGATGGAACCTATTTCCTGCTGTCACTGATACCAGGAGAAAGACAAAACTGTTAAAGTATAGGGAGAAAGTTGAAGTATTTGTAAAACTGTGGTGAGAGAGTGCACTTCAGTCACGAGACTGAGTGAAAATGCAACATTTTACCAGATCACACTAAGCACTGATACAAAAGTGCATGTCCTTATACCATAAACAGTTAATACAAAGTTAACAACTACAGAGACTAATTAAAAAGCAGAACTGTACTCCAAGTTTTTCTGTCAGCAGAGATGCCTGTGAAGCTGTTCAGCACATCTATTTTGCACTTTACATCAAACCACCCAGAAGTATTAGATTGGTTCATCTTCTTGACTTTGGCACAACAGGGCTGAAAAGAAGTTCATAGAGAAATACAACCCTAATGCAAAAAAATAAAGTCCTTCAAAAACTCCTTATTCTAATAGACTATCGACTGATATTTTACTTCCCTCGAGCTACCTTACACTGCCGTTGCAGATAGCTGCAAGATAGCCCAGGAAAGGTAAAAGATGTCAGAGTTCAGGTGATAACACTGTTGATACAGATTTAGATTGCAACGTCACTGAAAAGCCCAGACACAGAATATTAGACTCAAATATATATATAAAACTTTATTTATGACACAGAGCAGTTACTGATTACACAACACCACACTCTCCTGCATGGCCAGTACTGTTTCCAAGCATCCTTCTGAACCTTCAGCAGTATCTAGGAATGAGATCTGGGATACATTTCCCGTTGCTTCGAATGGAAATCTGGATTCTGAAGATAAAAAAGCAAATCTTGCTGACCAGCTATGGGATTTTGTGGAGGTGGGCACAGCTGTCTATAAAACTGACAGGCTATATGGGCCTGTATGATGCCTTTACACAAGGTGCAGAACTGTAAGTCCGAGGTCGTCTGTCCTCGTTTTAATCTTCCTTTACGACCTTCCACACCGGGCCAGCCCCCGCCTCACCTTTAAAAGCCTCGGTTGCTCCGGGAGCGCGGTTCTTGTCAGGGTGAAATTTGAGGGCCAGTTTGCGGTAGGCTTTCTTCAGGTCCTCCTCGCTGGCGTCCCTCTCCACCCCCAGAATTTCATAGTAGTTCCGACACCGCTTTATTCTGGAAGAAGATAACACCAGGTTACCTTTACCGGCCTTGTCCCCCAGACACGGCCGCAGGCCC